AGCACCAGTGGTTGGCTTTGTTGATCCTTTCTATAGTGTTTGTGCTAAGTTTCATTATTTTCTGCCCTTTATCGTCGGTTTCTGCTAGTCCCAGCAGTCCAGTTTTCATTGCATTACTTTCTTGATAGCACTAGGCATTGTCAGATTTTTTTCATTTTTGTCCATCTGGTGATGTTACATGGTAACTCATGGAGGTCTTGGTTTGTGCTATAGTCAGAGTGTCCTCTTATGTTGAAACCTAAACCCCAATGGGATGGTATTGGGAGGTGGGGCCCTGGGAAGTGATCAATTCACAGGGTGGAGCCCTCAGGAATGGGATTAGTGCCCTTGTAAAAGGGACTGGAGACCTCCTTTGACTCCTTCCTTCCTCGACCTGAGGACACAGCAAGAAAGACATCTAGGAACTACAGGGGTTCTCACCAAACACCAAATCTTCAGATGCCTGGATCTTGGATTTCCCAGGTTCCAGAGTTGTGAAAAATGCATCCCTGTTGTTCACAAACCACTCAGTCTACAGTCGTCTATTACAGCAGTCTGGATGGACCAAGACACCTTGGGTTGCAATAACAGATGGGTTTAAGTATTTTCCTTCTGCTTATCAACAACCGTCAAGTGCCAGTTCTTATCTTTTTCCCCATATTTCTATTAGGTTGTTGATTAAATGGAGACAACCTTTATACAGTATGGACTTGAAGCTTTGTGATTTATAACTCCTCCAAGTCTGAGGCTTCTAATGATGTTTTTGAAAAACAAATTGCTGAAGGGGCAAGGGAGCATTTTAAAAGCTATATATCCCTTTGCACCTTATTTTGTACTATGTACATCTATTATAAAAAAATAATGAAATTTAAATTAAAACAAGAGATTCATCTCTATCACTTTATCCTGGTTAATTTTTCTTTACACTTCTTTCATACTGAAGTTACATCATTCATGAATTCTCTCATGTATGTCCTTGAGTGAGAGAAGCACCTTCTCTATCCACAGTTATATCCCCAGTACTTCAAATACTGCTTGGCATGAAGTAGTTCCTAAATGAACATTGTGCAAGGAAAGGAGGAACTAGAAATAGAGGAGAAGGGCAGCCATGAGAAGCCTCCCTGTGTTGCCCAGGCTGGCCCCAAATCCTGGGATCAAGTGATCCTCCTCCGGCCTCAGCTTCCTGAGTAGTGTGTGCCATCACAACTGGCTGCCAAGATCCTGTTTTCAATGTTTTTGAATATTTACCCAGAAGTGAACTGCTGGATCATATAGTAATTCTATTTTTGATAAAATTTAAAATTATTTCTGTCCTTGGGATTGAACCCAGGGGTGCTTAACCACTGACTCCCAGCCCCAGCCCTTTTTTAGTTTGTGAGACAGGGTCTCCTTAAGTTGCTCAAGCTGGGGCTGGGGATGTGGCTCAAGCGGTAGCGTGCTCGCCTGGCATGCGTTCGGCCCAGGGTTTGATCCTCAGCACCACATACAAACAAAGATGTTGTGTCCGCCGAAAACTAAAAACATAAATATTAAAATTCTCTCTCTCTCTCTCTCTCTCTTTAAAAAAAAAAAGTTGCTCAGGCTGGCTGAAACTTGCAATCCTCCTGCTTGAGCCTCCTGTGTCGCTGGGGTTGCTGGCATGCATCTGGTTTCTACTTTTTATTTTTTGAGGAGCCACCATACTGTTTTCCACAGCGCCCACTCCGGTTCATGTTCCCACTAACCATGCACTAAGGTTCCAATCCCTCCATGCTCTTGCCAGGGATTGTTCTTTTGTCATTTTTTCATAGTTGCCATCCTAATGGTTGTGAGGTAGCACTTCTCTCTGAGAATCAATCTCTCATTTGTCCTTCAGGGATAGAATGGGACTCAATTATGTCCAGCTGATGCCATGAAAGTCAGTACAGATGGTCCCTGGTTTATGATGGTTTGACTTTACAATGGTGAAAAAACCATACACATTCAGTAGAAACTATACTTCAAATTTCGAATTTTGATCTTTTTTCTGGACCCACTATATGTAGTATGATACTCTTTCTTGTGATGATGGGCAGTTACAGTGAGCCACACTTCAAGGGCAACCACCAATGCTGTACAATACATGAGACAGTCAACACTTTGTTACAAAAAAAGGCTTTGTGGGCTGGGGTTGTGGCTCAGCAGTAGAGTACTCGCCTAGCACTGGGTTCGATCCTCAGCACCACATAAAAAATAAATAAATAAAATAAAATAAAGTATTGTGTCCAACTACAACTAAAAATTATTTTAAAAAAGGGCTTTGTGTTAGATGTTTTTGCTCAACTGCAGTTGTAATGTGAGTGTTCTGAACAAGTTTAAGGTAGGCTGGCCTAATTTTTGATGTTCAGAAGGTTAGCTATATTGAATGTATGTTTTTGCACTGAGGATTGAACCCAATGGGTGCTCCATCACTGAGATAGAGCCCAGTCCCATTTATTTATTTAGACATGGTTTCACTAAGTTGCTGAGGCTGGCCTTGAGCTTGCCATCCTCCTGCCTAAGGCTCCCAAGTTGTTGGGATTGCAGGAATGCACCACTACCCTTGGATTATTTATTTCTTTTTTCTTTTCACAGTGCTGGGAATTGAACTCAGGGCCTCCAACACAATGGACAAGCACTTTGCCACTGAGCTACACCCACAGCCCTAATGCCTGGCTTATTGAATGCATTTTTTACTTATGATGGGTTTGTTGGAAGGAACTTAGCCCCACTGTAAGACAAGGAGCATCTGTAAGGTCTGTGTACATCTGCAGCTTGGTACTTTTAGTTACATCTTTTCAGTTTAAGATGCTCCAGACAGAAACTATTGTAACATAAAGGTAGGACATAAGGAATATGAAAAGGGAATGGAAGAAGGCAATCGAAGGGTACTTCCAGCTTTTACTCTTCCTTCCACATCATAGATGCACATGATTCAGTACTACATAAGGTCTTTGGGCAGAACAATGCTTTCTTCCTCCTCCCGCTTCCTCCTTCCTTTTCTGCATGGCATACACAGCATACCTTGCCTCCCATTCCCAGCTCTCTGTGGGACCATGATGTCATTTGATGTAAGTGCAATTAAAAGTCCAATGTTCTTCTTCAGTTCTAACCACTATGAACACCAGAAGTATCTTGAGTTAAGTACTGTCATATTCATTTCCTAACTTGGCCATTTACTGACTCACTAATGTATGGCTTTGGTGAGAAAAGCTCCTGGGTGGAAACTTCATACACTAGTTACTTCTCTAGCTAATGTGGAATGCTCTGAATTGTCCATATGATTCCTTTCAGTTCCTACCTGCGGCTGATACTCTTTTGGGGATGTTTTCCTAACTCATCAGAGTCAGGAGCAGAATGGGTGCCATGCTATGTCCAAACATGCCTGGCTCCTGCCTCTCTCACTTTTGACATTTATCCAAACCCACCCTGTTCTTTCTCACCTCTGTGTCCCTGTGCAGCCAGATTTCTTCTTGCATTGCCCTTGCCATCCACCCTCACCTAGCTGTCTACTCATGTAGACTCAGCATAAATATGCTTTCCTCTGGGAGTTTCCCTTGGTGTAGGTGGGCCATGTGCCCTTTCACGGTCTCCCACAACAGATGTGCTCAACCCCACTTACCATAACCTACATTTTAGTTGTACTGCTACATGAAGCACACATTTAACTTAAAGGAATTCCACTATCTCTGCTTGGTCAAACAGGGAGAAAGAAAGTAACAGTTTAAATAGGGCCATGTGGATCCATTCAACACTCCTCTGTGAGCAAGCAGCGGGATATCTGACTGCATCTCCCTCCTTAGTTTTTATTTTTGAATCAGGAGCATCTGGCCTCTCTGGGAATGCTTCTGGTGTTTAAAGATACATGCTTCACAGAGCAGGAAATGTTCCAGGCATAGCAAAATGTTGGGATGCTGAGGAACAAAAGAAAAAGAAGGAAGACAAGAAGAAAAGGCAAACAAGACATATCTACCTATTATCAAAGCTGTAGGAACTGGGGTTCAGATCCCAATTCTGTTGCCAACCAACCAGGTGTTTTGGCCAAATCACTAACTTGTCTAGACTTCAGATCACCTGGTGTGTCCGCCCATCTTTTATGGTCACCCTGAGGCTTCAATGAGTAATAAATGTAATGTGCCCACAAATACCAGTCCAGTAACAGTTCGTATTACCCCAGCCCACCCAGCCCTCCCTCCAGGAACCCTGAACCATTGGATTCCATCAAGCGGGGACAGGAAGAGTGTCAGGGTAAGGAAAAATTTCAGGCGATGTAGTATCTCCAAGGTTCCAGCTGAAGTTGTCCTCCCTGGACCCTGGTTGGCACCCAGGGCTGCCTCAAGCTCTCCAGTAGCTGCACACTGGCTATAAGAACCTGGTTATAAACCATCTACGGAAATTTAGGAACCGGCCCTTTCCCAATCCCCTGTGTGCCAACCTTCTCATTACACTCTTCCCTCTGGATGACATTTAGCTGCGTCGGGGTCTGTGTCCCTCCTGACAGACAGTTCTTTCAGGAAAGATGCGCCCGCAACCCTTGAATGCTCAGCCCAGCCCTTGGTGTCCCAGGGCTGGAGGCAAGAAAGTTCGTTGGTTGAAAGCTTAATGCCTGGATCACAGTTAATGATGCAGGAGCCCACCTCCTTCCCGAAGCCCCGACCCTACAATTGCTGCTGTGGCTCCATCCGGTGCAGCGGGGCCCTGGGGATGCGACCGCAACTTTTGCACACAGTAGGCGCTCTGTAATCCATTCAACCCGGATCTGTCATCTGTAAATGCCACCCCAAGTAGCTGGGCTCAGGCTGCCGCCCAGCGCCGTTTCCCGGCTCTGTCTGGGATGCCGAACGCTCCCGGATTGTGGGAACCCGCGGTCCCAGCCTTCGGCCCCACCCCCTCCAGTCCAACAGCACCGAGTCGCCCCTAGCAACAGCAACAGGGCGGCGGTCTCGGGCCCCGCTGATTGGCGAACTCTGGAGGAGCCGATGTCGTCACTTCCGGTACCCGGATGCAGCGGAGGAAGCCGAGAGGCGGCCATCTTGGGTCCGTGAGGCTCGGCTGTGCCGGGGAGCGGCGGCGGCGGCGGCTGCCGGCAGGGTGGGGGCGAAGTGGAAAGCGAACGGGATAAGGGAAAGCAGCCAGGCGCAGGCGCCTCCCCCACGGCCCCCTCCATGGTCGGCGCTCGCAGCTCGCGGCGGCCTGTCTTGAGCTCCACCTTCTTCACATCCTCCTGCTGCTCCTCCTGTCTCGGGGCTGCCCGCGACGCTGTGTGGAGGCCCCGGCGCTGAGCTCCGCGGCGCGACGGGCGGGAGCGGCGGAAGAGGCGAGCGGGCCGGGGCCCGCGGGACGCCCTGAGGCGCGGGGACGCCGGCCGGCCGCCCGTCGCGCCCCGCCCCGCAGGGCTCCTGGCCGCGGCCGCCGGGGCCGGGGGAGAATGAGCCCCGGGGCCCGCGGGGGCACGGCCCGGGCCAGGCCCCGGATCTAGACCGAGGCCGCGGGGCGGGCGACTCGCGGCCGCTGCTCGCCTACCGCCCAGGGCTGGGCGGTTTTGTTTTCGCCCTCGCGTGGTGCAGAGTCGAAGCGCAGTAAGATGTCCACTAGGACCCCCTTGCCAACCGTGAATGAACGAGACACTGAAAACGTGAGTGGCCCGCGCTGCCGGTGCGGACGCGGCGGGCGGGTCGCGGGTGTCCTGCGCTCTGGAGTGGCGTCGCCGACCGCGGCTTGTCCCGGTGTGTGTGGGATCACCGCCGCGGGCCGTGCACGTTTGAACCCAGGTTAAAAGCATGTGTCCTCCGTGCAGGTTAATGGGAATCCATCTGGTTGATGGATTGTGGACTGGCCTTTCTGCTCCTTTAAAATGGTTCGGAAATAAGTTTAATGACAGTCGCTGAAACCAGGTGCCCAAGGTGGGATCTTTGTGGCTCCCTTAGTTGCTCCACGACTCTGCTCGGAGAGTTGTCCCCGGAGAGAGGAGTCCTCACCAGTCCGGCGGCGAGAAGTTGGCTAAGCGTTTTGAAAGGCGGATGTGTAGTGAAGCTCTGCCTGCGCTCGCTGCCCAGCTGAAGCACGGCCCTCCCGGGGCTTCCCGTTTTCCTCCATCCTAGAAAGTTTGGCTTAGAAGAGCTCTCAGGTCCCTTCCAGCGCTCACATCCCGTGCGTCTATAAAAGGTCTCTTTGATTTTATTCATGTGGACCTTTAAAAACTGCCAGAACAGCATTGTTAAGGAGTGACAGCTTGTAGTAGAAATTACATTGAAATGTTTGGCTCTGTCCCAATGTTTTCTGAACTCTTTCTCCAGCATTAGGTTCAGAAGTGTTGGTTATCTTAAGTAAAAATATCTAGCAAATAACTCTTAAAGAAATTACACTGGCCTTTCATTATAAGTGTTACGAGGTAGTTGCTGACAGGAGAATGCCATCTCTTAGGAAAAGCTTCCTTGCTCATGGTGATTTCATGCTTTCAGTAGTGTTCTGAAATGTTGTGGCAGAGTGGTACCAAATGCCTTCATTTTAATCTTCAAAATACCTCTTGGTTGGTTGATAGCTATTGGGTAACTTAATCTGTTTATGTAAACTGTAGTCTAAAGCATCCCCTCAGTACAATAATGTATAGTATTTAATGCTCTTTAATCTGGCAGTGGTGTAGGTTCCTACTCCACATGGATTAGAAAAATTACATAAAAAGTAATAGACTAGATCAGTCTGTGACCTTGTTCTTTTTTCTTTTTTTTTTCTGATGGGGGGTCCTGCTGTGTAGTACAGGATGGGGGCACACTCCTGGGCTCAAGAGAACTGACACGCCTGGCTTTAGGTGGCTTTTATTGGCTTTTATATGTGGCCTTTTTGAAGAAACCCATTTCTGACCTGAGCATTTTCCTGTTCTTTGACTACCCTGATGAATGGAACAAACAAAAAGATGTTTTGGTTGGCTTTGAGTTTTGATCTTCACTTAGTCAAAAACCTTACATTGAATCAGAGCAGGAGCTCCATACTTGCTCAACTGAAGCCAGCGTCAATAAAAGCAGATTTCTGATAAAGATTTTCTGTTAGGTCTTCTTTCAGTATGCATTTCAGTGAGGGACAGTAGGAGAAGATATGTGCTATTTTCAGTTAGGAATACATGGCTAGCTGGTATTTGTGATTATTTATTGACAGACTTGGTTCATTCTTCCTCTATTCTTTGGTTATTTTGTTCAATTATTTTGTAATTTTTGCATAAGTTGTTAGAATTACTCTCTCTGTTCTTTAAAAACAACTTAGGGTGGGTGTGTATCTTTTTTTAATATTTATTTTTCAGTATTGTGTCCAACTACAACCTTTATTTATTTATTGTTATGTGGTGCTGAGGATTGAACCCAGGGCGCTAGGCAAGCACTCTGCTGCTGAGCCACAACCCCAGCCCCAGTGTGTATCTTTAATATCATGTAATGTATTTACAATTGGAGTGTTGATACTGTTAAAATCAAGAGGTTCATAGTACATCATTACAATCATTACATTCATTCACCTTGCCCTTTTCTCTCTCTCTTTTTTTTTTTTTGGTACTGGAGATTGAAATCAGGGTGCTTAACCACTGAGACATCCTCAGCAGGCTCCTGCCCCCCTTTTTAAAAAATATTTATTTTTTAGTTCTAATTGGACACAATACCTTTATTTATTTTTATGTGGTGCTGAGGAACCCAGGGCTCCACACATGTTGGGTGAGCGCTCTACCGATGAGCCACAACCCCAGCCCTCCTCCCCTTTTTTTAAAAAAATATTTAGAGACCAGGTCTTGTTCAGTTGCTTGGAGCCTTGCTAAGTTGCCAAAGCTGGCTTTGAATTTAAGATCCTCTAGCCTCAGCCTCCTGAACAGCTGGGATTATAGGCGTATGCCATTTCTATATTTTTGGTACTGGGAATTCAAACCAGGGGTACTCTACCATTGATCTACATCTCCTGCTCTTTTTATATTAAGACAGGATCTTGCTAGGTTGGTGGGGGGGCCTCACTGAGTTACTGAGGCTGGTCTTGAACTTGTGAACCTCCTGCTTCAGCCTCATAAGTCTCTGGGATTACAGGCATGTGCCTCCATTTTTGATGCCATGTTCCATTTTTAACTCTTGTGTTGGCATGTTCTTAAAGTAGCTGTGGTGCATGTGTCAGTGTTACACTTCAGGTTCACATTCGTCATAGCCCATGGACAACTAGTGTTATACTTACTGCCAGTTGAGTGGTGAGTGTACATGAATGAATGGGAGCTCTCAGTCTGTTGAGAAGTTCTTTTGTTAAAGTTAGGTTTATCGAGATATGACGTCCACACTTTTAAGTGCACAGTATGATGAATTGGGCAAATGTATAGTCATGTAACCACCACTACAAACAAGATATAGAACCTTTCCATCACCCCAAAAGGTCCCTTGTGACCCTTTACAGTCACTTCCCTCTCTTCTTCAGCCCCTGGCAACCACTGATCTGTTTTTTGTCTCTCTAATTTTACCTTTTCTGGAATGTTTATAAATGGAGTTATGTAGTGTATAATCTTTTGAGTCTGAATTCTTTCATTTATCATAATACTTTTTTTGTTTTTGCTATGCCAGAAATTGAACCCAGGAGTGCTCTACTACTGCACATCCCCAGCCATTTTTTGTTTTTGTTTTGTTTCACCCAGTTTCCCAGGCTGATCTTGAACTTGCCATCCTCCTGTCCAGCCTTTCTTGAATTGCTGAGATTGCAGGTGTGGGCCATCTAACCCAGCTGGTTCATTTCTTTTTATTGCTAAGTAGCATACCACAATGTTTTATCCATTTACCAGTTGATGGACATTGTAGATATTATGATTATTAGAGCTTTTATTTTATAGAAATACATTCCCTTTTGCTTATCCTGGGAATCTCATTAAAATTTTAAATGATTATATACACTTATGATAATAATATTGCTTATTAGATCAAGAATAATAAAGAGGGCTGAGGGTGTGGTTCAGTGGTATAGTGCTTGCCACACAAGAGTCCCTAGGTTCATTCCCCAGTACAGTTAAAAAAAAAAAGAATTTAATAGGTAATCTGTAACAAGAATATTATTTTCATCCTTGTATACAATTGTTTTTATTTGACTTTTAAATGTCAATATCCACTTTTAGTAGGTGGGTATATAAAAATTCTCTGTCATCACACTTTATAGCCCAAAGAACTAGTCAAATAATCTAGTAAGGATGCTGAAACTAAGAGAGGTGACAGGAGCTGCTTGAGACTATGGGCTGTTTAAAAGGAAATCCTCCACTAGACTCCAGATCTCTGACTCAGTCTGTTGATTTTTTGCTGTACTAGGCTATTTCTCAAGACCTCATATGCAGATTATTAAAAAAGGGGATGTAGATGTACCAATTCCCAGAATATAAATAAAGCAAACCTTTTTTTTAAGTCTGGAAAAAAATTTAAAAAAATTGTAGTTGTAGATGGACAGACAGCATGACTTGCTTTTTTTTTTTTTTTTTTGGTATGTGGTACTGAGGATCGAACCCAGTGCCTTACACATACCAGGCAAGCACTCTCCCACTAAGCCACAACCACAGCCCTACTTTGGAAAAATTTAAACAAGTAAGTAGAGACAATGATATTTAATAATGATCCTCAACTGGGGTGAGTTTTGCCCTTCAGTGGGCACATTTGGACATGTCTAGAGACATTTTTGGTTGTCATAGCTAAAGGGGAGGTTGCTGCTCATCAAAAACTCTGCTGAACATTTTAGAATACATGGAAAGCACCTTACCCCTCTAAGAATTATCTGGCCCAAAATGTCACTAGTGCCAAAGTTAAGAAACCCTTGTATTGGTGTGTAGTGAGCTCCATATATTCAGCAGTTCAGTGTCCAGTCTTATTTACTTCCTCTTCCAAGAAGTAAATTTAGTACATTATATCATTTCTCAAGCTTTTAGAATAGAACCTCTTTTAAAAATATAATTAGTACCTTTATCATATATATAAAGTCAGTGTTAAAGTTTCCTCAGTTTTCTGAGTTTTAAGTTGTTCAAATTAGAATCCACCTTGAACTCATTTATTACAATTGGAAATAGGATGCTTTTAAAACGCAACAAGAAAGTTGTGTTTTAGTTTATGTCCTACATTTGGCTTGTATAGGGAGCCATGGGTGTATCTGTTTCTTACTGGCAAAATTAGAAACATATTTTTCACTTAAATTTCAAAGCATATAACACTTTGTATGCCTCGGTTATTTGCTAAAGGACCAGAGGCCCCACAGCTTTTCCAGTTATTTCTTTAACAGCTCTGGATATGCGTGCATTATGTACTTATTATTAGTTAATGCAAAGAGTCTTCAAAATTTCTTCTGTGAAATAGACAAACTGATGAAGTTATTCTATAGCCATTTGTTACTTGGGTGTGGCTGAATTAACCTGTTGAGCAAATAGAGTACCCATGATGTGTATGACACTGGGATAGGTACTTCATAGGATATCCTATTTATCTGGGAACCAGATCATTCCTGCTAGTCCCTGCAGAACAAACCACCTAGGGCTCTGTGAAACTAGTTTTGTAAACTCTCAAACGTGAGCAAACATTTGAATAACCTAGAGGGTTGTTAAAGTGCTGATGTCTGGGCCTCACTCCCAGACCTTGGACTCTACAGTTGGCACTCTAG